TAACTGGCATCTGGGCAGAATCGTAGAGATATTATTAGGTAAAGACAATAAGGTTGGAGTAGTTTCAGTGAAAACGAAAAGAGGTATTTTTAAAAGATCAATCAATAAAATTTGTCTTTTACCTATGCCAAATTAAACAAAAAGTATGTTTGTAATTAATTATTGTATTTTCTTATTATAGTAGTTTGATTTTGTTGATGTTATTATTTGATGTTTACAATTATTTACCTGTATTTCGTATTGTCACTCTGTGTAATTTTTTATTGTAAGATCTAATTTTGAACGATTACATCATGTCAAGGCGGGCGGTATGTTGCGCCTGCGCGCGCATTTCATTACTAGCGTCGGCGCATGCGCCTTGAGCTCTTAGAGTTTGTGACATGAGATTGTGAGCTAAGAGCGTGTGAGAGAATTCGTGGCTTCGAGTGGCCATGAACGAAGTAAATTAATGAGAATTAAAGTGAGATATAATACAGTCCATTGTTCCTGAATTTATTGAATTATAGTGTAGTGCCTGTGCAAAACAAAACCTAAAGTTGAACTGTAAACCTAAAATTCGACAGATTAGCTCATTAGTATGGCGGTAGTACGCAGTGTATATAATTGTAAATAGTATAAGACCATGGTCCTTTTTGTATTTAGTATTTGATTTGTTTTAAATTACTATTGCAATTATTGTTTATGTTGTTTGTTATTGTAATGTAATGTTTATTATTGCATTGATTCCTTAGTTGTAAGTTTGACTTCCTGTCCATGGTTTGTACTGCCCGGGACGTGCAGACGTTGGGAAGGGGGCAGTGTTACGAATTTTGTATTTAATTTATGTAATTTTTGTTACAAGCAATTTGTATTACATTAATTATTGTAATTTGTATTACATTAATTTGTAATTTGTATTACATCAATTATCTGTAATTTATATTTTCATTATTTGTAGTGAAACAATTTAATATCAAATCTATTAAAAATAGCAAATTAAATACAAAATCCGTAACAATATCTTTAACACATTTTTTCATTAAAAATTGTCATGGGTTTCAAATAAAGTATCACTTCCTGTTGTCCATTAAAGATTGTCACCGGCTTCATGTAAAATACGACTTCCAGTTGTTCAGTTTGATCCAAAATATAATAAACTCTATATGAATGTAGAAAGCTTAAATAGGAAATGCAGAATTTTATTTAAGAATTATTGTGGATGAAAGAAATCGTAGCACACATACAGACATATACAAATCATAGTAAAAACGCGATGGGGACCATAATTCTTCTTCGCTGAAAACTCACTGTCGAATTTTTTTAATCGAAACGTTACTTCTCTTGCTATGTATATAAGTTGGTGGGAGGTAAAAATTGAGAAGATAAAAGAAGCAGTTACTCCAGAGATGAAATAATTATCTTATTCTGAAACAATACTCTCTGCATATAAATATACCTATTGCATAATTTTATTTACTCCAGTTATCCTTGATATCAAATTGTATTAGGTACTATTTTTAACACTTTTAGTTATGTTACCTACATTCAGTACTGATTCGTGGAGGATTCATATGAGCCCCTTGATAAAATTGTCTTTGCGATCCCCTTGTTCTTTTTGTTTTCTTGTGCGGAATTTTGGTACTATTCGGTTTCGAGAGCCGTAAAAAATCGCCAAACTATTGTTGATACCAATGCTGCCAAAAATAATTGCGGCAAGAAAGGAAGTATAATAGTAAATAACTATCTAAGATTGATGTTTTAATTTAGATGAAAGGTTAATTTCATATAATACTTTTTTATTTTTATTATTATAATTTATATGAAAAGGCTAAACATGACTGAATGGAAGCATAAGAGTAAATAACTATTTCAAATCATTATTATAATTTATATAAAAATTGCTTAACATAACTGAATGGATGCCTGCATCGCTATTTCGCTACCGACTTATCCCTAAAGCATAATTTCATCTCGTTGGTTGTTCAAACGTAATTTTAAATAATGAATTATGCCTTTTCTTTGAAAATATTCTCGGTAAAGTGCAGAATCGCTCACTTATTTGTTTGCCGCTTTTTACAAGGGTAAAAACAATTGGATTTTTGTCAATTTTATTTTACTTTTTAAATGAAAATAGGTCGATGTGTACATAGATAAAGTCACGGGGTGCACAGTGCCATTTTTGTGCAATTCTGGGATTGTCTTTTTAAGTGAAAATATGTCATGGATTTGTACACTGGATCGTCTCCTCGCCGTATTTTAACTCTTGACTTCATAGTGTAACTGGAAGCCCATCCGGAAGCTCGGAATTCGAATCCCAGGAAGGGCACTGCTCATTTTTTCATGTTTTCTGCTCCGATATTTAATTGTTTATTTATTTCCATATAAACGCACTTTACATGTCAAAATCCTATTTTTACAAACATTAAATTTCATATTAAAGCAGGAAATATTTTTTCCCGAGATTTTATTTATGGGCTTTAAAAAGACAGGGCTAAAGTGCAGAATCGCCCATTTATTTGTTTCGCGCTTTTTACAAGAGCAAGAAGAATTGGATTTTTGTGCAATTCTGGGATTTTTTAAAGTGAAAATAGGTCGATGTGTACATGGATACCGAGTATGTGCAATTCTTAAAAACGCACCAAGCAGTGGACGATTCTGCACTTTCTCCCAAGAAAGTTGTATAAGAAAATTTTTAATATCGTAAAGAAAGCTGACGTTGGTAGGGAGAATTTAGCTATCAGTAACTAAATGAAACTGAACGAGCTTTTAGCTGAAGGAATATTTTTATTTCATATTTTTAATGGTACAGCATGTTTATTGAGCAATTTTCTAAAATATGATGGTTTCTACTTTGAACGTTGACCACAGTTAAATTTATTGTTATTTTGGATAGTTTCTGTCATAGTGCGAATTTTTTTTAATTTGAAAGTATTTTTTTAAAATTGAAAATGCTTTCTCGTGCATGTATAATTATTTGTATTGTCTATTCTTGTAAAAAGCAAAGCATTAAATCGTAATTTGATATTTTGTAATATAAATAGTGAGCCCTTTGTTAAAATTTTCATAGCTCCCAACCTATATTAAGTATTATTATATTTAGGAAATTTTGAATTCTTCATGTAAAAATTAGCATATAAAAATATTTTAATTATCTATGCTTTTTAGTATTTTTAATCTCAGACCGAATTATTTCATTGTTAGTGTTTCAATTTAATCTAGTTTTGAAAATCTATGGCAATGTTTTTCAAAAGTTACGAAAATTATAAAATGAATTTAATACATTTAATAACTTATGCTTTTATAGATTATCGATGCTTAATTTATGCGACATTAAATCCTAGAAAGCTTACCTTATATCCTTTTATGGTCGGATATCATCTGATGTTTGGGACATTGTATACTGCATAACATTCTTTGAACATTCCATCTAGAGGTGCTTCATAAGCAGTCTTCTGTCCATTATTGTCCTATTTGACGTTTCCCACTTCCGTACTACCGTCAAATGAAAGTGTTTTCATCACTTACTAGAATAAATTTAGTGGCCTCCTACAATATAAACGTAACATCCATGAATCCATGTCAATTCGAGTTTAAAGAAATAAAACTGATACTGAAATAGAAATTAACATCTTCAATTATACTGTTCAAAGGTTAATCAAAAGCGCCTCTTTCATCAAGCACGGAATCACAAAATTTAACTGTTCCAAATGAGATACTTCATCATTAGACGGAAGAAACAATTCTGAAAACATTGGTTCCATACAAGGGAACCAATTTTGAAACGATGACTAAATACTAAGGAAAACTGCAGCTAACATAGACAGAAGCTGCGATAAAATATTCTATTCGGAAAATTTCTAAAAAATTAAATAATAAGCGTGAAAATATTGGTCCAGTCATTGGAAAAGATTAAACACTAGTAACTCCGACAAAGCTCATGAAATGTAAAAGTATCAAGAAAAAAACTGCTTTTAAACAACAAACATTCAACATATACATAGTGCGAATTCATAAGTGTTTCGATTTCACATACAACTCATTAGGAAATTAAAAGCTGTTGCCAGTTCACCATGGCTAAGTATTAGTAAAAGGGAGATATGGCTTATCAATAGCGAACATTCTCTCACGTTAAATTAACATGAATTTTACCAGTTCTCGATTCTCGTGCGAATAAGCTTTGGATCCACATCTCTTAATACGAGTAACTCTTTCTGCTCACAATGAGATCTTTTTGAGTTTTCGTCCTTAAAATGATGTGAAATATTCTTAAGACATTTGTCGTTGAATTAAACAGGATATTTTTTCAATACGTATGCATTTATAAATTTTATAAAATTCACGCATTTTATAAAATACCTGTGATATGGTATTAACTGATCTTCATTTTGGGATCAGCATTCATCATCTGAAGAGGTCTAGGCTGCAGCACACGACCCTTTCGGACGGCAGTTAAAATCTGAAGCTTTTCTGATTTTTTTTAATTGAAGAAAAAATTACTTACCTTTCATTATAATACTCTTGACTTTGACATTGTCTTGACTTTGTCTACTTTGACATATACTTTAAGACTTACATACATAGACATAGACATATACTTAGCTTACTACGTATACTTAGATATAGCTTTCAGGATCCTCGAAATTCATGGAATATGTGACAGACACCTGACTGTGGAACAATAAACTTTATAAACGTATCCGGGGATACATTGTTAAATGTGCAAACAAATATAGCGCTGTTAAATAATTAAGAATTTAATTCGCTTTTAAACATTCAAATATTTACATATTTTCATGATGCACTGTCTTATTGTTACAGAAATTCAATATTAATTTTTATAAGTTGCAGTTTTGGCTTAAATTCATCTTGCTTTATTTTAATAGAGAGCTAGATGAAGGTAGTATAGGTTGTATAAATAGCCAGTTGCTTGTACGAATGTTACTGTACGAGGCTGAAGCGTGTTCAATATTTGCTGAATATCTGTAAGTACTCTGTTGATGTTTTCGTTTGAACTGAAGTGACATAATTTCGATCTCATATGGCAATGTTGCTGTATCACCGAATAAATAGCTATATATGTTTAAAGGATTTCTATTTAATTTTAACTAATTTAGTACTTAATATAGCTGTTTGTTAATTTAAGGTTAAGGAAATTGATCTAGTTCTATGAATTCCCAAACAGCAACAGAAGCTTCACGCTCTGCGGAAGCTAATAGGTAAGCTTGACCAGTAGTATATGAAATACTGTGTCATACGAAGAAATGCAAACTATATCAGTTAAATTTAAGTGAACTTGAAAAGTTCTAAATTAAATATATTGTATAAATTTCATTTGTTAGAGAAAATAGTTTCTTTTGTTTATAGTTAACGTCTGTTTTTTTGTGACGCATTTACATTTTGTTTTCATTGTAAATAATTGTTCGTTCTTTTCCTAGTGTTGTTACTTGCGTAGATTTTATTTCGGTTCACAAAAAATAAAAGTTCTGTATTTGAGCTAAATGTGAGAAAAGAATTGTCTAATAGCAGTGTTTATGAACAGTTTGCATTGTATTATTGTCAAGGTTTTGTAAATTAATTAAATTCTGTAATATTAACGGAATTCCATTTACGGTGAAATGAATATAATCAGGTAACATAATGTGGAAAACTGGGAATTTTGTATATGTACAGAAGTCTTTGCAAATGTTGTTTAATATAATCGCATTTTTGTTGGTTATTATAGTAGTATATTCTTGATAAATATTTCAATTTTAATACTCACTGTTTACACTTGGTGATAACAGTAATAAAATAAGTTATTGTTAGTACTTTAAAATCGTAATTTTATAAAATCTAATGATAATTAACTCCATAAATTACTCCATAATGGAGTATATGAAGTTTTGTTTTTCATATAAAATTTAGCCACAACAAATATTTTTCAAAAGAATGATGTAGTTTCATTTTTTCTGAAACTGTAGCATATCTGGTATTTAAAAAAATTCCTGTTTTCTTTGTATTGCATACAAGGATTTGTAAGTATCTATTTAGCAGTATATTTTAATCCTTTCAGGGGGAAAGTGCAGAATCGCAAACTGCTTGGTGCGTTTTTAAGAATTGCACATACTCAGGATCCATGTACACATCGACCTATTTTCACTTAAAAAAATCCCATAGATGCACAAAAATGGCATTGTGCACTCCCTTGACTTCATGTACATATTGACTTATTTTCACTTAAAAAGTCAAAGAAAATTGACAAAAATCAAAATCTTGTAAAATGTGCCAAACAAACGCCAATCAAATAAGTGGGTGATTCTGCACTTTAGCTCCTTTCAGTCCCAATGGGTTATATAAGTCCCAGTAGATGTTTAAAGAAGCGTAGAGGGAATTACATGCATATGGGAGAGATCTGAATATGTTCTCTGAAAATTGTCACTCGCATCTTCTTATAGAGGCTTAGTGAATTTGTTAATTATAAGGCGAGCTTGTGCTATGTCTTTACGTTTAAACAAATAAATTGGGACTAAAAGGGTTAAAAATAGCTTCATGAGGTGCATTGAGAAATTTTCAAGTTTTGGTATATGTTTTACACCATTCAGGAGGGCTTTCTGTAAATATGTGTGTACATGTGTCTTGTGTACACATATCATGAATCCATTAATTCAGTTTAACTATAGATAAGCTATTCTAAAATGTCAAAACCTTGAAGAATGTTTATTCTGCTTTTTCTTGTGTATATTTGCCATTAAACCACTAATTCATTTAATTTGCAGGAGAGTATGGGCTGGCTGCTTGGGCATTTTTGTGGGTTTGCAAATGTACAATGTTAAAATGAGTTACTTTTCTGACAAAACATCTTGCAAGAAGGTATTCCTTTCCTTAGGCAAACATCCATTGTATGATTTTCCATCAATGTTTAAATAGACAAGCTATGATAACTGCTCTGAAATACTTATTTTGCTTGCTGTCAGTATCAATAGAAAATATCGGTTAATCTTTGAATTATGGTAACTTCTTGAGTTTTTGGCGAAAATTTGGCGACCAACCCTGCTACAGCAACCTGCTAGTTTTTTTTTTTTTTTGGATGGCATTTTGTTTTCACGAAGTAAAGGCATTTTTTTTTTTTTTTCAATAAACTTAACATTTTTTCCCAACAATCTGCTAGCCGAATTACGCTTATGCTAGAACTTTGATGGAACAAAAGTGCTTAATAATGACATAGATTAGGTGCGAAATTGGGAGAAAGTGCAGAATCGCAAACTGCTTGCTGCGTTTTTAAGAATTGCACATACATGTTATCCATGTGCACGTTGACCTATTTTCGCTTAAAAAAACATCCCAGAATTGCACAAAAAGGGCATTGTGCACACTCTTGACTTTATCCATGTACACTGCTAAAAGTCCTAGCTAGTAACCTTATTGCCTTACCAAAATGTCGCCAAGCTACCTGTTACCATATTTCAAAGATTAGCCAAAACATCTTTTTTTGGTAATGAGAGTAGCCATTATTTCTGCCTTCATTGTTCATAAACAAACGTTTACGTTCAGTAGTAACACAACTAGGTGGAAAATTTCTCTTGTAACATTCAGTACTTTGCATTAATTGTATCCATACATGTTGGTTTTCGCTTGGCATATGAAGATGGAATAGTCTCTGGAGAGATACATTTTATTGTGGACAAGTAGTGAAACCTCATCTTAACAAATGTACAATATGTGCACACTCAAAATAATGATTATGATAACGCAGGGTCCAAATCATATTTTAAGATCGTGCGTGTTCATTTATGTGACTTCAAGCTAAATGCTTGAAGTAAGGTGTAAAATTATTATTATTATGAGTAATAGTGTAAATTATTGTGTTTTGTGCATTACTTGTTAAAAATCATTTTCATATGTCACATATAGAAAAAACGTTTTCTATACAAATATATTCACACTTTCGTGCTTTCAGTAAATACGTTTACTAAAACCTTCCTCAGCAAAAAAGCTGAGATATCAAGAGCTATGAAATAATTTAGTAACAATAAATTATAAAAGTTGAGCATTTAAAAAGGGTACGTCCCTTTCTGTTCCCTTTAATCCTCTGAGCGTTATGACCGGGTTTAGGCGGTCAAGAAGACCTACGTCAAATGCGTTACTGACAGTCAATGGCAATGACCTCAAAAACAAGGCGGCCGTGGAGATGTCACAGCTCCCCCCCCTTATTCTGGAACCCTGGAGATCTCTAAATGACAACTCTCAGTAGGAGCCCAAGAGGGTTGTTCTTTTTCATTTTAGACTGTTATGTTTAATCGCCAAGAAAATACTTGAACATAGAGTGGCTTATAAACAACAAACATGGACATTCTTCGCTAAATAAATGAGTAGCATGTAAGAATGTTTTTCCAATACTCTCTTTAAACAGATAACATTTTCATAAAATATCCTTTGGCTTTTAAACTGAATGTTTGGAAATATGCGAAATGCTCATGAATTCAATTAAAAAATAGCATCTGAAAGTATTTAAACAAATTCACTTGTATAACTAAAGTCGGCATGTTAAAAATTTTAATTATTCACATGAAACGAATAGTACTGCATTTAATTAACCTGAATTACATATAATAACCTGAATTACATGTAAATAATAACATTATTTAAGCAATAATTGAAATAAAAATTAGCCATCAACAGTAAGTTATAATAAGTGTATTCTTGAACTGGTGTATATAGCATAATCTAATTTGATAGTAAATATAATAATGGTGAATTAGTTATTGTTTTTGGAACAATATTCATCACTTATACTGGTTTGATGAACTTCTGTTCAAATGCATTTTAAATATCCCAAGTCTGTTAATGTATGTTGAATGCAATTTAATGCAATTTTTATTTTATTCAATGTAATTTGAATGCAATTTTTATTAGGAAAAACTTCGATGAGTTGAATTTTCTTACGTACTTAAGCTTTACATAATTGTTATTACTGTGTTCAATGCAATGTAATTGCAAGCAGAAAAGCAAATGAGAGTTAAAATTTTGTAACACTTGTATTTTGTTATATAAGTTATTAAAATAACCAACCTACAGCGTAACAACTGAGTATCCAAAATATAACCTGCAAATTTTTTAAAAGTAACAAATTTCATTTGGGGGGGGGAACGCAGTAAATATATAAATGAAATACTAAGAAGAAAAGAAGCACGAAAGTTTACTTTTTTAATGTTTTCTTTTTTTTTTTTTTGTCCAAACGGGCAATTTGCTCTGAAAGACTGTTAATTTCATTTTGGCATTTTGCACTGGAAGCTATAAACAGCGAATCACTTTTCAAATTGTTGCTCCAAAATATTATCACCCTGTATTATATTTAAAGAAGAAATAATGAAGAATCTGCATGAATGTATGTATGCTTCTCCCATTGTGATAAAACAATGTTTAGAGCCATCAAAATTTGAATGATGTAATCTTCCATGGAATATGGACTTGCAGAAACCCTAATTTTAATTTGAAATTTGTTTTATTATTGATTTCATATTTTGTAACACTTCAATGAATATTTGATTAAAAAAACTAAATGATTTCAAAGCGAGCAATGGCAACACTACATTAAAAAAAAAAAAAAAAACACATTATCTCCAGTGCGCGAGACTCTGTATCGGAAATTCTAAAGATATGCTCATTTTAAAATTATTTTGCGATATTGCTGTTGAACTGAATTTTATGGTTTAAGTACGTAAGAACATGATATTTAATAAATAAAGGTACCACACAAAACGTTAAAGAAATGTCCCTTTGGACGTAATTTAAAATCTGAAACCTGTAAGATTTTTTTATTTAATTTTATTGTTTTTTGAATGCATGTTGTTGGCGAATGACGCAGTAGTCGTGTATAAATAATATAATAATTATTTGTGCTATTTTTTATTTGAAATGCATAGAATTCTCTAAAATAGTAGCATTCTTAGATTGAATATTGTCTAAGCAGGTGCAATGATATTTTAACTTCATTACACTGTTTATATCATAGCAAATACAGTTTCTTTTTAATTTAAAAACTTCGTCCAGCGGTCTGAAGCAACTTTTTTGAATCATAGGATGAGTTTTAATAAAATTTGTAGTAGTCCGAATTTTTATAAGTATTCAGAATTACTGAAATAAAAAAGCTAAACTTTTTAGAATTTCTTTATCAAAGTACATCTTAGGCCAGCAAGACCTGATTAGTAAATTCTGGGAAAGGATCTAAGATTCTAGG